CTGACCCAGGGTGTTAAAGGACATGTGTCCCAGCCTGCGATGATGAAGAAGAAATTCTTCCAATGGTGGCCGAGACAGCACAGCAGTAGCCATAGGTGTCATATCATCATCCAAGTAGTATAGACCATCTCGCATAATTCCTGTCCCAAGGATTTTCCAAGTCCCAAGTTGCAGAAACAAACACCAAGTTGGGAAGAAAACTGCAGCACAATTAAGTTACTTTGTAATACAACTGATAGATAATAGGTTAATTGGGAATGAGGAAACATGTAAAACAGATGACAGAGACATATTAGGTCCACATATGACAGTCCCTGATCCCATAATAGCTTGGGAAGAGCCATCTGCCAACTTCACATCCTGCCCCATCACATTAGGTGCATATTTTAAGAAGTCCTCATAGGATCCCACCATATGTCTTGATGCACCAGAATCAATTAACCATGGTCGATCACAACTTACCGCTTTAGAAGTATTAGTCCAGGGACCAGCAGAAACAGCAGAAACAGGTGCTTCTTTTGAAGAGTTTTCACTTGAACTCATCTTTTTAAACCACTGCCACTTCACCATATCTCCTGCAGTCATCCTCACGCTCACAAGCTATGTGGTTCCACTATCACCAGTTAGTCGTGTAACTCGACAAAGATTACAGATTCTGCGGAAAGCAAAATTTACATTTCCACAGTTTGCATTTGGACACAGCCAATCCCCATTTCTCTGCCAAGATTTTGCAACACCATCACACATACCGAAACCATGACCACGACCTCTGTTATACCTGTTATGTCCATCTCCACAACCTTCTCGGATCAGTTCAGGACAAGATGCCCTCACATGTCCTGACTGTCCACACCAGAAACAAATTTTCTCTTCTGTGTTCACTGACCTTGACCTCTTCCCTTGCTTGCCCATCATTTTATCCAGAATCTTATAATTTTTATCTTGTAGCAGTGCTGCAAGTTCACCAACACACAACATAGTAGAGGCACTTGATTTTTCACCCATCACTCTGAATCACCTGATGAGCTCCCCCTTGCTGCAAGGACCACACAAATACTCCACCCTGCAATACTACACACGTATCTTCTCTTCTCCGCACAGGCAAACAGACAAGTAACACAACACCTACTCAATCCAGCAAGAAATCGCTCCTTCAGACAGCAGTTCCAGCAGCACAGCAGTAGCAGTAGCAGCAGAATAGCAGAGCACTTCTCAGCAGCAACAGCAAAACACACTCCTTCAGACAGCAGAAACAGCAGTCCAGCAGCACCTAGCCCGCAGCAGAACACAACCTGCCCACAGCCTTCTTCTCCAGCTCCGCTGCGTGAGTCCCCTGGTGCAGCCGCGCGCTACCACGCCTCCTCTTCGTCCCCGCAGCCGCGCGCTCGCAGCTGCTCCCCTCTCCAGCAGCCCGCGCTCAGAACTGCCGCCTCGCCGCCGCACGCGCACAAGCAGCCTCCTCTCTCTCCTGACCCCGCCAGGCCCAGCCGCCGCCGCCGGAACGCCAACCTGCTCCGATGCCATGTTGTTTTCACTGGAGGATTGCCTGAGCTACAGTAACTCGCGAGAGGAATGGACAGGAGATTTCTCTGGAAATTCACCCTTTCCTTTCTCTGTACAGATATTTTACAGCAGCACACTCTTACAAGTAACACCCTCTTGACACTCCAATATCTAAACTATACCCTCCATCAAAGGCCTAACAACACTATCCGTCACTAAACTTCAATGATATCCTTCTCCAGATGAACACCCAATAATCAAGTATAGATTATGTGGTCAGTTGGAAGTAATCTGCCCCAAAAGGCTAGCAGATTATGTGCAGCATTTTGAACAAACAAGAATACTAGGGGGGAGTAATTAAGAACCTGCAGTCTCTGCTAAGATTCAGACCATGTATCCAACTGTTTGGTTCCTACATTCACAATCACAATAGCCAAAGTACTCCCTCTGTTTCTAAATATATGTCCTTTCAGAAATTTCGATATGGACTATATACAGATATATATAGACATATTTTAGAGTGTAGATTCACTCATTCTGCTAAGATTCAGACCATGTATCCAACTGTAGCTAATCCATATTGAAATCTATAAAAAGAATTATATTTAGGAACGGAGGGAGTAATAAACACTCCGTTTTAGCCAAACTAAAGAAGAGGCAGCTCAGTTACAGAAGGAAGAAACACCAACTAGCTGCTAGTAAACCTCCTGGTGGTGCTTGGCACAAAGAATTACCCACAGGACCAAAATGCAACAATGAACTAAGAAATTTAAGCTGCCATCCACAGCAAACACATAATTTATGGCCATGGTGCAAAGCATGAAAATCCAAAATACACACGGTACAAAACTAGGGCTTCTTTGTCTCCATAACATCACTAGCAGCAAGTGCTTCTCCATTGTCTCAATAAAATTACTAGCATAAAAATGAATGGATGCACCTAAGTTTACTTACTTAAATTTAAATGATGCCAACCCTCCTCCATGTGGGAGTTCGACGTTTAGTAAAGTGGGCATCTCTCCTTAGCAGATAACCTGTACGGATGTGAGCCCTGCGCATTTCATCCTGCAGTCCAGTAGGTATTTCCAATATGACCAATGGCTCCAAATCATTACCTCTTATTCAACTAAAGGAGAATCCACTTCCGGACATTTTTCATAGTTGAGTGAATACATCTATATTAGTTAGTTAAAGCAAAAAAAATGGATCACTATGAGTCTGCATATGAGCAAACCAAAATTATTCTTATAACAAACCATAATCAAAAAATAGATTAAGCTAAAGCCAGGTGACTTGACCCTGGGCCCTCAATAGGAAGCACTAACACCAAGAGCCAACATCTCCTACAGCTGCTTCCAAGAAGACTACTCCCTCCGTCCCAAAATAAGTGTCATGGCTTTAGTTGAACTAAGGGTGTGTTTAGTTTCAGTCACGGAGTGGAACGGTATGGGTCGGACCCGTTCCTAGACCTTGTTCCAGCGTTTGGTATACAGATGGAATGGAACCCACTCGTTCCCATCGAACGGATATACCTTGTAAATCCGGAACCGAGCGATACCTCCAAATCGGCCGGACCACGCGGAAAGGGCGTCTCTTTCTCCTCCCCTGACTCGCACACACCCTTCAACTCTCAACGCCGCCACTCCCCCGGCCCCGACTCCCACCTCTCTCCCTCTCCGGCGTCGGCTGTCCGTCTCGTCCCCGTCGTCTCGCCTCCTGCTCGTCTTTCCCCCGCACAGCCGGCCATCTTCATCTCTACCAGCGCTAGAAGGAGGAGAGGCCATCTTGCCGCGGACACATTCAGGCAAAGGAAGGAGGAGCGGTCGTCCCGTCGCAGGCACATCTGAGTGGCAGAAGCTGCTTGCTGTGCGGCGGCGGCGGCGGCGGCTAAGGAGGAGTGGAGCAGCGGCCATCCTGTAGCAGGCACATCTGCGCAGCGGCAGCGGCTAAGGAGGAGTGCAGTAGCGACCAGTTCTGGTGGGCGGCGGCAGTGGAAGGAGCCGCAACGACCTGGGCTGTGGCCGTGGCTCGTGGCTGGCCGAGTGGTGGCCTCACCTGCAGCAGCGGCGTACACACATCTTGTACTACAGAGGAATTGGCATGCGGCGGCTACGCCAAACTGAATCAGACTCTGCTCCATCGTGCTCCTGCTCCCTCTTGCGATTTGTGCTTGTTCACGCCTTTGCAATTTGTGCATACCCCACCATTTATTGAGAATCCTTTCCGTGTTTGTTTGTAAATAGATTGTGTATAGATTATTGATGTCATTTTATTTGGCATGATTGTGAAGCAAAATACAAACAGTAGGTGATGAAAAAAATGTTGTTTTGATACTTAAATAAAATGCTTTCAAAATAAAATTAATGTTGCATATATTACTGGAAAAGCAAACACTAAGTTTCAGTCATCGAACGGAATGGCACGGGTCCGACCCGTCCCAGGGCCAGGTTCTCACGTTTAGATCAGGAACGGACTAGAACCCACTCCACTCGTTCCCCGAAAGAGAATATTCCACCAATATCCGAAACGCGCTCGTTTCTCCAATTTGGTGGAACGACGCGGAACGGCCTCTCGCCCACTCCACCTCCCCTACCGACGCACTCTCCGTCTCCCCCAACCCCTCTCGTCTCCTATTGCTCCTCCGCGCTCCTCTCTCCAAGCCCGATGGATGAGCAGCGGCGACCAAGCCATCGGATCCACAGCTGGGCGCGGTGACCAGGGCAGCGGATCCACAACAGGGCGGCGACGTCCTGATCTGCTAGGAGGCGGCGGCGACGTCCTGATCTGCTAGGAGGCGGCGGCGACTTGACGTCCTGATCTGATGAGGCGGCGGCGACCTGATCTGATGAGGCGGCGGCCATCCCCTTGCGAGCTGCGACGGCCATCCCCTTGCGAGCTCCGACGGCCACCTATCCGGCTACCCCACGCAATCACTGCTTGTCGCTGGCTGCAACAGGGAGCAATTTTTCTTGATTGAAATCCAATCGAATATAAATAGTCTCAAAACTTTGAGCAAAATTTCCTTGATTGTGTGCCCATTCATGATTTTTTACCCGTCTATGTCCACTCAATAGGAAACAATTCAATGTAAATATTCAATTGAAAGAATACCATATTTGATGTCAAAGTACTTGTTTTGGGACGGAGTAGGTACTTACCTAAATTTGTGACTGGCATCAGATTGATGCTCCAATTATCCACATGAAGGATTCCATACTGTGGCTCATTATCTCAATGCAACAGCAACTAACTCAAAAACTGAAATTTTAAATGCATTGCAGAATGGCCTGACCTCACACTTACTTAGTTGAGTTAGTTCCATTACGTGTGTCTAAAACATGAATGAGGACGAAAAAGGTTCATAACCAATCCATGGTTTCTTCTCTACTGAGTGATAGCATTACATACCAGTCTTCAGGGATCAAATTATCAATTCCATCACACGGTAGCAACGACCAACCCAGCATCTAACAGTCATACAACAGCAGTCAATTGCATCATAGTCTGTTCTTGGCTCGTGTGAATCTGAAATTAGTCGGCAGTTGCCCTTTACAAGTAGCATCATAGTCTTCTTGGAGGTGTGGTGCAGCTTCCTTATGAGGGCATATGAACTTCTCCCTGAATGCCTTTTCGGTCTCCGTGAAAACAGTGCTGTAGCTCGGGTTGCGCTTGAGCAATCCATTTTTGTTGAGAAACTTTACAGCATAGTACCAGGGCCTGAGCCGGCCCTCTAGGCTGTAGCAGACAATTGTTGGCTGTTGAGCAATGTAAGCCGGTTCCAAGCCCACCTCAGAGATGAGGAACTCGGACCTGCGCTGCAGCGATTCCTTGGCCCTCGTCAGCATTGATGGAGCTTTAGACACAGCAATGCCCACCTCAGCATCCGACCACCTGAATGTGCTGTTCAAGTAGTCTACTCTAGCTGCGACCTCCTCCTCGCTATGGAATGCAATAGCATGCAGCGCGTGCCTGAACATCACAGAGCCACGGGGCACACGTATGTTTTGAGCGCGTGCCACCATTCCCTGGATGCGCTCTGGTTTAGTGGTGAGCATGCGCGGTTGATAGATGCATAGCTTGGCAATGTCACAAGCACCTAGCCCGCACTCGTGCAGATAAGCGACATGGGGCTTGACGATGCCGTCGAGGTCAAACGAGAGAAGGTAGGGGTTCCTCATGAGGGCCCGGAGGAGGTTCTCAGAGGACCCAAAGAGAGGCATGTAGTAGTGCAGCTTGGAGACGATGGATCTATAGCGGAAGTTGTTACCGGAGAGCAAGACGAGGCGCGCGATGTTGGAGCGCGAGAGGCCGAGGCCAGTGAGCCCGGCGACGATGGGGGCCAGGGTCTTGTCCACTTTGGCGCAGAGGAACTTGGGGTCCTTGGCAACGAGGGTGGCGACGTCGGTGCCGGAGAGGCCGAGGTCGGCGAGGAAGGCGAGCACGGCGTCGGGCTTGGAAGGGGACTTGAGGTGGGAGAGCTTGGCGGAGGCCTTGAGGGCCTGGGCTCGGGTGAGGCCGCAGGTGGAGACGAGGTACTCCTCCACGGCGAAGCTACTAGGGTTGGGGGAAACGGCGGGCGCGGCGGCGGACAAGAGGCGGTGGAGGTGGGAGGCGGGGGACGCGGAGGGAGATGAGAGAAGCTGGGTGAGGAGGGAGCACCTGAGGCGGAGCATGGCGCCGCGGCGGAGAGGCCGGGGAGATTTGGCGGCGGCGGAGAGGCCGGGGAGATTTGGCGGCGGCGGGCGGCGAGGGAATGGGGAACGGGGATGGCTGCTCTGCTTCTGCTTCTGCTTGGCGGGGAACGGTCCAGTCCAGTGTTGTTCAACCCAGGCTGCCCAAGTGGGCCCCGCCCGTCAGCCTCATGCTGCCATATAGGAGTAATGTCAATGTGAGCGATCCCTTTTGCAGCAATGGAGTAGTAATGTTTTCACATTTGCCCAAGGGAGGCAAACAAAGCGGCACACACTTTTAATTATAAATCACCAAAACCCTATATCTGGGAGCTTTTCCGCGATGAGGTTCATCCACTTGTGTGAAAACGACCCCCGGTAATCTCTTACTCCCTCCGTTCCAAAATAGATGACTCAACTTTATACTAACTTTAGTACAAAGTTGAGTCATCTATTTTGGAACGGAGGGAGTACATGGCACGTGTATTTTTTTTGGGAGCACACGGTGTAGAATTGCCTGGTGAACGTAGATCGACATTAAAAAATTTCTTAACGTGCGTACCGATCGTGTTGGTGCGTGTAGCGAATTCGGATGTCTGTGGGCCAGCGTGGCCCGTTGACCTCGCCTTCCGAGGTTTCTTCCGTCTTACGTCTTCTGTGGGCTTCGATCGCTATATGGGTTGCGCATGTTCCTTTGTCGATATATGTGCTGCCGTGCGTGATCTTGCGACAAGAGAGACAACGGTGCCACCTCGATCGTCCTATCTACATGTTCTCGGTGTCTCTGATCGGTGACGCTTTTACAGTTTATTCCAAAGTCCTGTCGTGCCTCGCTCTAGAAATTCCACCGCTTACCGCTACTGCTTTTGCCCTGCATCGAGCTATGGTGTGGGGTTATAAATAGGTCGCGTTCCTTGCCATATTATTGCCTCGGGTCTTCTTCCCAGGGACAGTACAGGGGAGGAGCTGCATCGAGCCGCCGCTGATGCTCTGCCGAGCCATGAACTGCACCGCTGTCCCTACCGAAGCTGTCGCCGCCGTCGCATATTTGTCGTGCTGCTCGATCTGGAGTGGTGCCAGGCCGCTGTGGGGCATCTACGGCAAAGGAGCGGCAGCCTCCATGGAGGAGGCGGCTGCGCTGTTCTGGCTCCTCCATCGAGTAAGGCCGGCCACCGGGAGCTGCTTCGCGCCGTCGTCGCCACGCCGCCACATGGTCTCCCCGCGCACGCCACCCATGCCGCATGCATCGCCGCACCTCCTTTCGTGCGTGCGCAGCTACCTACGGACACCCAGGTGCCGCCTCCGTCAACGGCCTGTAAGTCACCAATCGCCATCATAGGAACAAGCGCTGGGCTCCTCTGCTACCAAATAGCGTCGGCTCCCATTCACCCGCCTTCCCGCCCACGGTTGTCGTCGACGGACACGTACGTGCGGTCATTGCTCTTGCACGCGGTGCTTCTGCTACTATATCCTTCTCTCCCAGTTACGTGTACTAAAAATTGGAGCTGTCGCTGCTGCTCTACTTTTATCTCTCTCCATGGCTGCAGCAACTCCATCTCTCCCCTGACCGTACGCATAGCGGTGGGTCCTGCTCTCTCTCTCTCACTCACTCAAATTTAGCGACAGCTTCTCTTTTGCTGAATTGGTGTATCAATTTGAAATCTGGTTTTTTTATTGTAATAAAATGTCTGTGATATGTCAAGCTTAATGCACAGGAACCTTGATATAAATACACACGTACAGTATTCTTGATGTGGTTATTTCATGATCACTATATGTTTGTTAATATGTCTACAAGAACTAAACATCTTCACATTAGCTAATGATCAACTAGAAACTGTTCATTTTATAGCAGACAAAGTGAAGAAGATGGTTATATAAATTTCTCATCCGTTGATGATCAGCTAAAAACAGAAGGTTTCAGCAGAAAAAGTGAAGAGGATGGTTATCAGGTGTAAGGGGCTGCTTACCGCCAGATGCAGTTTCACTATTTTCATATTAGACAAGTCAAGATTACTTTTAGGTTGCTTTTAGATCTTGGTGGAAGAAATACTATTGTTGATTTGGAGGTTCGTGTGATACTCATGTCTTATATAATATTTTTGTTCTCTAGAACATACCTTTTTATGGAATAAGGCATTGTATATGAAGCCAGAAGCGATACATACGAGTCATAAATTAAATGCAGGTTTTGGGGTCACATGTTGCCACAGTTTCTTTGTAATTCCATTGTAAATTTGGAAATTATACTCTAAATTAAATCGGTTTAGATCTGACTGGTATGAAATAGTATGCATAGATTAGAGGTTTGCATTTTTTACATGAACTGCTTCTATATAATTTGGGCATGAACACCTCCTCAATAGGTATAGAAGATATCCTCCTCTCTCTTTGCTGCATCTATAATTAAAGTTCAGAAGTTGTCCTCCGCTCCTTTTGATGTGATTTTTCCCCAGTACTTTTCGTTGCAGGATAGTGTCCTTTTTGTACATGAACTGATTGTTGGTGCTCACTGATCTACAATCTCATGATCTGCAATTTCTCCATGAAGCTCTAAGTTCCCATGTCTTCATTTTCAGCACGGATCAACGAGCATCATCCAGCGAAATTTCCTGTTCTCTTCATATTTCTTATTTTTTCCTTTGCTACTTTTATGATTCCAGATTTCATGATCTCTTTATATTATGTTTTTTTATTGATAAGGAGTTTGCCTTGAAATATTCCTTCTGATTTGCAATGTTTTATTGTCTAAGTTTCTACCCGAATATTGTGAATGGACAAGCACTGGTGCAACAACCCACTTGGAGGAGAATACAGAGAGGTATTATTATTAATGTTCATGCTTTAAAATATATGCACCTAGCAAAGTTTCTTATTTTCAGAAATTGGGTTCTAACTGAAGTGGACAACTACAGTTTGGCAGTTATTGCCGGTGACGAGAAAGATCATGCACCCATGATTTTCAACCGTGTCCTGCTGCCGAAGGGAACTCAGAATCCTACGATAGGCCACCCACACGATGGATGAGATGCATGTGTACCGGACACACGGGTTGCTAGCATACATGTTTCTGTTTTTGCTAATGATAGTACTTGCTAATTGATTGTACATACAATTTTTTTGCTACAATTTGATAGATGTAATAGTAATTTGAATTGTCATATCTATAGAGGTAGCCATCAGGTACTATGTTTTTATCAACCCATTGGTTTATCCAATTGAGCCCATAGGTTCATTATAATGTACTACAGTACTATACAACTAGAAGGTTGGTACCAGCAGGTGTACATGCATATGTCTTATCATTTGTTCGGTCAAGTAGCGTGCATGCATGTTGGAATAGTAGGGCACTTGACAATGCTTCTTGATCTTAATAGGAACACTCTTTGCCTATGATTTGTGACTTGGAAGTATGATGTATGTAGTACATTCGGGTACTCTGAAGGAGGTTAGTTAGTTCTCAAAGCCACACATACTTGTTTCGCAAAATAGATGGTTCATCACTATATATTTGTTTTTACTAATGGTGTATGGTTTTTTTCCAGAACTGTTCCCTATACAAACATATGAAAACTCAGTGCAAGCAGAAATTGCCATCAGAGAAGATAGTCTCAAGTTTCTTTTTGTTTTAGGTCAATATTTGAACAAGGGTCTCTATGTATATTTTTATGTACTATACACCTAAAATTTGATTCAACATGCACCTCTTGGCTCTCAAATTAAGGCCTATCTTGTTTTATTTGTTATCTTCAAAATCAGTGGAAGAAGAGAAGAGCTTAGGATGTGCTTTCTTTGGAAAACAAAGAGAATGCTACTCTCCATTTTGGATGGAAAGTAGAAATTTTTGCTAGGTACTTTAGGTCAACTTTTCTAGTAGTTGAGGGTCCTAAAATACATGGCATTATTGATGCATAACCGATTGTTGTATCTTCATTATAAAGACACACACATCATCTATCTCACATGAAATTAACAAAACCAAATATCAAACCAAACAAAATAAAATAAAAAGACAAGAGTTAAAACCAAGCACATGAAACTACATATGAAGATGAAAACCAAGAACATTGTGAGAAAAAACATACAATTAAACTTACACAAACCTGAAAAACTCTTGGAGAACACAACAACTAACATAAACAACCAACCAATTAGCCAAATAATCAACACAGGGCTCTTTCTGTCCATGCATACAGAACTTCTATGTGGCGTCTAGATAATGTGTGTTTCTTTATGAAAGATTTCAACCTCCATACCAATACAATGGTTGTGCATACACCACAATGTAAAAAAGTGATTAGGCAACAAGTGAGTAGTAAATTAGATAATTATCATATAAAGTTTAATACCACCATACATAGAATTTCTTACATGACGTATCAGCAGGTGCGGCGTGCGACTGCACAGGCATGTGTAGAGCGGACTGTACATGGTTCTAATATGTAGCTTTTATTAGAAGTGTATCAAGGCGTGTCTCATTTTGTTTGTCAATATGCATCATGCATTGGTTGTAATAAATGTAATTCTTTTCTACCTTGAGGTCTTAAATCACCATCTTTATGTATGTACCAATGTGCTTTTGATCATGTAACAGCATATAACACACGTGAAGCCACCACGTATATTTCCTTAGGTTATAATAATTGTTCATGATTCTATCATGGCGTATAGACGGGCGCGGCGTGCCGCCGCGCGGGTTAAGCTAGTTCTTACTACGATTCAAACTATGTTCATTTGGTTGGGACGGTGATCCCCAAATTTTCATCTACAGTTCCTGATGTAATTGTCATTTGAGTTCAACAAAAAGTGTGTCACACCTTCAAACGAATACTTGATTGTCTTCTGGGTGACTGCAAGATATCCTCAATGATACGCTACAATAAACGAGCATTGAGCATGTCCATGAATCCCGGAATGCATCTCGGTTTTGCTAGCGCATACGTCTTGCTTCTCCCCCCTCCCTTACGGTAAGGCGTGTCGTAACTGTTGTTTACTTTGGCACA